TCGAATTTGCAGCACTTGTACATTTAATCGCAACTTGACGTCCTTCATACTCTCCACGCCAAATTTCTCCACTCTCTCCACTTGTAATCTTTTCATGATAAACAATACTAGCAAATGCAATTCGTTTTAACATGAGTTCTTGATCATCACAAAAAGATGCTAAATCAGGAGCTTGTGATCGAAAACTTTCATTAATTGCTTCAAATTGCATTGCAGAATTTAATGGTGGAGACGTTTCACTGTATGGTTGAGATACATTGAGCCCATCTCGAGATAATCGTCGAAAAAACCATTGAGGATGCATGAAAAATGTATTATTGTCATTGTCTTGAAGACCATCTTTCGGTAATCTTTTAGACCGACGCCACATAATACAAGTCACAATAGCTGCTAATACAATAAGTCCTAAAAGTAGACCCACAATAATTGGAAGACTTGAGGATGAGTTTGTATTCATGTCCGACGTATCCATTGTGACGTACACTTGTTCAATCCAGAGCTTCATACCAAGTTCGATCTCAGGTTCACACCATGTACGTTGTTGTGCGAATATATCTACTTCAGATGCATCTACTTGTTTACATGGAGCAATAAATTGAGCTCGATTTGGGCAAGTGTCATCTTTCATAACCCATGAATTCGATTGCGCCAATAGAAAGAGCGTTCTATTGTCAATATTCGTTAAATTTTCAACTTGAAATAATTGTGGATCAAATGTGTCGTCAAGTTGACCATCCATAGCCCATAACGGTCCGTCTGTCGTCTGAAGCTTGTGAACTGTCGATTCTGTAGCTTCTGGACTCACGGCACAAAGTGCTTTCGACTCAACGTAACTTGATTCACATGTTGATTTTGTAAAGCTGATTAAAGTGCTTTTGCATTCTTTAATATCACACCTTGGCGTATCGTCAAAGGCTTGGGAAGATTGAAAGACATCACTCATTGTACGATCACAGAGTACGTAAACCTGCATGTAATTAGCTGCTGAGTCAGACTCGTTGTCCTCAGAGATTGCAAGCACCCAGCCAGCACTCCAAAGCATTGCACGCTGGACATTAGCTGGAAAAGTTGTGAAGTTGGTAACATCACCTACAAGCTCTTGAAGAGCTAAATTGAGATGAGAAGGTGGTGGTGGTGTTGTAATGGCTGTATTGCTATAAAGCTGAGAGATAATATCCGTGCGTGCGTAGACAATAGCGCAACTCGTCGCGAGTAAGACCATGGACACATACATAGCGCCTTCCACGTCAAGGACCGAATGTTAGGACCAGTTTGTTATGAACTGAATCTATTTAATTCTACATGTGTATTGGGTTATATGGACTGGATGAAAAGGTTGAAGAAATCTAGTGAGATTACAATCAAGTGCTGCTTTGTAGCAACTAAGAGTCCTATCCATGCCACGTACTGGCCACGGAAGCGTCGATTTACTGCAGTATCGTCTTATCCATGTGAATATTATGGAAATAGTACAAACTGTTATTTCAATTTAGAATTTGAATCTCGTAAAGGATTAAGGAATTTAAAAAGCACAGAAAAAACTAGTTTTTAGAATTTGATGAACGATGAAGCTCGTATACTTTTTAGATTCTTTATAAGATTCTTAGATCCTCTCATCTTTTATATTCAGCACTGGCGAGCTTAGCGTAGGAATGCAGCTATTTCATTTGAGAAGGTGGCGCACGGGGATCACGACCAGAAGGAATAGACTTTCGTGTATCACGTTTTGAGACCATATACCACGCTACAGCACCCACACCAGCAGCGACCATTAATGGAGTTCTAGCAGAAAAAAAAATCACATTGTATGAATTTCTTGTCAAAAAAGACCAAGACTATGATCACATCATGCTCTTACGCCCATTTGCCGCTCTTGACATCGTTTGCAATCTTACTAGGGTTCTCAAATGGGGTTGCCATAGTCGTTTGCTTCACACGCTTTAAGGATTTCGACAAGTGATCTTTTCGGCTAACAAGATCTTTAAACTGGGACCTGGCACCATATGAGAAGCAGTTTGAGAAAATTCTTCTTTACTTGGCACCCAGCACTAAGTTAACGGGAAGTAGAAGATGTGCTTTTCGTATTACATTAATCAGACTATTCTAATCTTCATAGGGTTTTTTCTTGCTGGATCTCTGTGGATGCATGCGTAGAATAGCTTCATTCCACTCCTTCGTGTCCTTAGCCGAGAATTGGCGCTGCTGCTTCTGATCATATTGATACCAGGCAGCAAACAAGCCAAGTGCTGCCACCCATGACCCAATACTGCAATAACATACACAGAGGTTATATCTTGCTCACAGATTACGCTAACTGCTGGTTACGCACCGCACATTGCGCGAATTTCTTTCGAAAAGCTTGGCCATTGTATTTATTATGCATGTAGTGGTGTTTTTACGTTTCCTGTAAAACTGTATTGGGGTACCAAACATTATAATCTATTGAAGGAAGCTCCATTTGCCCCTCTTTTGGGTATTTGGTCCCAAAAGATTAGCCCTGCATTCTCCCAAAATTTCTATAAATCAAATTTTATTTCAAAATGTAAAAGAAAAATCAGTGTTGTATTCAATAATTATTGTATAGTATCATTACAATTGGGTTGTAGGCATAGACATGCGTGATGGATGATTATAGAAACAAGATGCTTTAAGTTCTTCACTTCCGCCATTCTTCGTATAAATATTAAATAAAGACACCAGCCATCAATCACATATGCTATGGATCACCCCCTTGGCTACCGCCCTGAATCATCTTTTAAAACTGACCGCTCAAAATATTAATGAGTAATCATGGATACGGTTTTCACTGAAGGACAAGCTTACATCACTGAGATTGAGGGCCATTTCCGTGCTCACAATGTCATTGTTGCATTGGACAAGCACAGTGACAACAGAAATGTCACCTTCATGCGCTATTATGACGGTCAACGGGAAAGGTCTTTCTTTCAGTACACGATGGGTCGTAAGTGTTCTGGATGTGGTCATCCTGATCACAATACATGTAATTGCAATGTGCAAGAGTCTATACAGCAATGGTCATTCTTTTTAAGTAAACGAGTACACTGGGGGACTTTCCAGTATTCTTGCAGGCGAGATATAATTTCGCGGGAATATACGCATATACACGATACAAAATTACAAACTTTTAAACTTTGCTTGCCGTATCGACAAGAGGAAACGTGAGAGGAGAAGCATTCCTTGGTCATGCCGATCAAAAGTCTTTATTCTTATTCACGCAGTCACATTTAGCCATGAATAGAAACATGCACAGAAAAATGTTGTGTTTTGCTGGCGCTGGGCTTTGATTTTTCATTTATGAGGCTATGATTGAGCATCTACGAGTTATGATTGTGTTTGAAGACACACAACCTCCGGGAGTCGAGTAGCAACAAGTTACTGAAGCTACTACTGTCTTGCGTACTAACACCTTACATGCAATATGGTACAGCAGTATAATATTTACATTTCAATTTGGTGTACCGAAGTATTGGGCTCTGTGGATAAGAGATAGTGAAAAGTCTAATTCAGTATTGGTATCCGTTTCATTGAAATTGTATATCTTTATTCCGAAAAAGAAGCTCTGATTAGACACCTAGTTGCGGAAGGGGCTTCCGGTTTTGCTTCATTAGGGACGCACGAAACCAATCTCTTCGCGTTTTTAAACGCGGGCTCTTAAAGTCAAATGATGTGCGACGCGCGCGGCACCTCGTTGCCTCCAAGAATTATTTTCTCGACTAGGACGCAGTTGGAAATGTCTGGGTATTGTCCTCGAGACAACCAGACCAGCTTATATGCTAATACAAATTGTTGGTTGTGTAGAGATCGGAAACTGGCGGTCAAAAATTAGTGGTGGTATTTGTCGCCTGGTGTGTTCAATGGCGACGGGTTTGCACGAGCGATGAAGAAGGACTGATGGTACGCACGGTGAGAACGCAGGTATTAAGTCGGGACAGAGAATTGCTATCTACCAGGACAGGGTGGTCATGTATCCAAGCAAAGTCTTCTAAGTCTATTCTATCTATTTTACGGACGCTATGGGGGCTGCATTCAGTTGTGCAAATTGTACGGTCATGGCACAGCTATCCTTAATTCCCTGGAACAGAATGTCAGCTTCTTTGCCAATATTAAGAATTCTAAGAAGTTTGGGTCCTACCAGAGAAATATTTTTGTGGTGTCGCTGACCGTTGACGCTTATGATATGTCACATCCGCTATTGTTGATAACCCAATTTAGAAACAGGGTCGTACTGTTGAATTCGATTCCCTATAGCAAGTAGGATCTGGCCTTGTTCCAGCTTCAAAATTCTTGGTAACTAGATCAGCAAGCTCTTACAGATAAAAGCATAACTGCTGAAAGCACAAAACAAAGGCGAGGGGGAAGTGCCTACCTTGATGTCGATAGCACTCGTTGAGCTTCGCAAAGTTTAGTAGTAAGCGACATTTTAGTACGGCGTCTGCTTATAAACCAACATGTAACGTATTAGTCACAATACACTGGAATTGTCAGCGACCTTATTAAAAGAAAGCACGACGACCTCAATTGGCGAGGTAAGTTTACTCGTAACGATCCGGACCTCATTGACAGCTCTAAAGTCATGAGTCTTCCTACTCTCTGCTTCGAGGAATGGAAATGATGTGTGGGTTTCAGACTCAGATGAGCGCGGTCATTGTCAATGTGCGGGCCTTCTCGGGGCATTTGTCGATAAAGACCGGCAAAGCCATGCGTAGGTATTGTGTTTTGGCAACGGTGAGTAGCTATGACTATTCTCAGCCAAGAAACACCTCACCAAGAAGTCTTTCATGACGTCGTTGATAAAACCCGCGTCTATCGCTTACACTTGGCAAGCTATGTGCCTGAATAAGAAGTTAGGTTATAGAGGATTTACGGTATTTTAATCTCAATAGAGCTTACACTGAAATGTTCTTACTATCATACTTGGGACAAGAAGAAATTTGCAAACGGTGTGTAGGACAATATAGTCTGCGGTAACGAATTGATTTGCGGCCAGGATAGGTTATGTCTCCAGCGACGTGATATTTTATTTGGAAATGGTAAAGTGAGCTGGTGACGTATAAAAGCATTACAACGTTCTCTCTTGAAGTTGGACTAAGATCAGTAGTACCTAGCAAAGTACTATCCTTAAGTCTCAATATGCGTCATCAATGAGAGGTAAGAGTGGTGATATTCGGAAAGTGAAAGCCGTGCAAAACTACGTTAGTTGCTAGCATTACGCAATGTGATATGCAAAGCATTATTATTAGGCTAGAAGATCAGACAAGCGAGTTTGCTTTAAGCTACCTCAGAGAAAAGCTACACTGTTTTGATTGAGTATAGCGAAAGTGAGAGGTACAGCCGGAGACTTATCTCCTAGACATTACTTAACGCAGTCTTCATGAATCAAAGCTATATCAGTACAGTATGCGCATCAATTTCGTTGCATACTCGTTGTGGAATTACGCTAGGACTTGATATCGGTGGTAAGGAAATGATTGAGGAGAACCCGTCTACTCTGTATGTGATGTAATCATCATGACAGCAAGAACTTACAGTCGGGGTTACGCAAAAGCGCATCTGCCACCAGGGTAAGCTTATCACGCGAAATCTTACCTCCAGTGTATCAAGGAGATAACAATTGAACATTTTGTCAAACTTTGCAAAAATGTGGTGGCGATGTCGTCGTTTGTGACGACGCATTGTCTATATGGACGACAGCTTGTTAAGAGCCATTTAGGCGTATCCTGGGCTTGACAAAGATGCAATAACTACCAAGTAGCTCCTTTCTTGATTTTATATGTTTATGGCGCGCTTATAATTTATTGGCATTTGCCTGGAGTAAACAGCCTCTGACAAAGACTGAAGAGTTCCAGACGATACAAAGTGACCCTACCGACTCTAACACTGGCGACCGCAACAAATAGTCCACTATTCCCATGGCGCCAGAAGGAATCTCTAGAGGCTACATCTTATTGATATTATGGGCCTCTCGATTTGTGGTACACATAAATAGGCACAATGTACGAGCAAAAGTGTCTGTCTCAGAAGCAATACAATCTGTAGACGGTGGTATATACTTGCTACTTGGCGTCTCACATAGTCACAACGCAACGCAGCCACTTTTCCCTTCTTAGTATCACGATGATAATTATAGAAGATTTTGCCGGACAGTTTGACAATCTCCAGCCCTGCACGAAACCTATCGCACTTCGTGATCGCGCCAAAAGTTCCTCAGCTTCCCGGCAGAGATGGTATTACAACTCACTTACTCCTCCACAGGAGAGTAGTGCGTGGCATCCAATGTCTTTAAATTTCAGTCGATTCATGGCATATGAAGTTTTGACCCCTCCAAACCTAAGACGAGATTGCATCTCAGAGTCGGATCTAGATCGAGACTGTGTTCCATCGTATCTCCGTGTCTTCGCAAATTTTCTGGTATAAAGGAAAGCTTCGCGTCGCACTTTGTGGAACAAAAGTTTAGCACCGATAAGAATCTCGCGGTTTCGCACATCCCGAACGTTGGTAATGACAGCTAGTTACCCTAGGCTATGAGCTTCACCTTTCTTGAATAGAGACGCCATAAACAGGTATGGCTAGATTGACTGTTCTCTCCGTAGAGCAGAATGTTTTCTTCGGGACTGAACGATTCCCCGCTAGAGTTTTGTAAGTTGACCCTGCATAAGGAGCTAGACCCTTCGCACCTATAAACTAAGCATGGGGAGCACGCTGATTGCGAATGCTTGGTATGTCCACCAATAGAAGATCTGTTCAGTATAAAAAGATAGGGTTTCTCGAGAATGAAGGCCATCAATAGATCTTGCGTCTGTTATAGTGACCTTGCAGCTATCAAAAGTGCAGTGATAGATTGTGCTGATGTGTAGCAACAACAGGGCAAATGAAATGTCCACTGCCTTGCTGCATTCATTGCGTTGGGTGAGCACAAAATGTGTAGGTCCGAGCCGCATCTGTCCAGCGCCCGTCAAAAAGATAGTCTGCGCCATCGCCTTCGGGGGAGGGTCTGATGCCATCGCGATGAGGGCTCACAGCCTTGAACATATTTGGCGTGATCTCGCTTTCTTTGACTGGTGGGTATGAGTTCTGCGAGCACGTCATACGTCTAGTTAGGCGGCAGCATTTGCGAGATTTGTCGTTCCAACTTTCAAATGCTTAATAATGTAGAAGTCTAGCAACTTGTGCCCCTCTTGCTCATGACCTTTGAATCAGAGATCTCTAGCGCAACGTAATGTTGATCTGCCTGGAGTATGGCCGAATTTATGGCCATCTCGATTCTTTCGCCCGGGGAAAGTGATTTCTTCGTCTCCTTAATAAATTGATTAACGAAATGCTCCTCGTGGTGGAGGCTATATGTTCTTTTAAAACGCCTAACTAGGGCAATCCGAGATGTATCTTAGCTGCGCGCTTACAAAGTTAGCATGGATGTCCTCAGGCGAGCAACTATCGTGAGTGTATCTGGTTGTCCCGAGGACAGACAGCCAAAAATATCTTGCTCCATCCTCGCGGACGATGAAATACATTAAGAATCGGTCATCAAGCTGACGAAGAGTTCTACCACATGCAACGGGGCTGTCGCGCACCTTGCGCAGTGGATGAATATGTACGCTCCACCAAGGAGATAATTTGTCGCTCTTTTATTTTCAAAGTAACTTAAATTCAAGGTAAAGTTCAATTTAAAGTAACCCTACAACTTCTTGTTTACCATTTGTAGTATCAAAATGAAATGTACTGCATGACGTGAGGCAACTAGCACAAGTGTCTCATGTGCCTCATCTTTAATCCAACGTCCTCTTCAGTATCAGTGCTTTGGTTTTGAGCCCTTACGCACAAATATGAAATGTGTTATGAAAACCACAAAACAATAATACGTACTCGCGCTAACGATATGCTAACTGTACAATAGTCAACTAGCATGTAATATCATTTTAGCAGCCTGTTCAATAGAACTTCAGTATTTATGGTCGTGCAGAAGCACCTAACTCTCACATCTGCTTTCAAGTATAGAAATCCTCACAGTCCAGCCTTCATGTACTACGTCGCATGTGAACAACAATTTATGCGTAAGAAGATCACGAAAAGAAGTAAATCAGAAATTCATTATGTTGATTATAGTCATTAATCTATAATCTCAACTTTTTCATTTAAAGAAAAGACACCCTGCTACGCGTATCTACATGAAGCGACTGTCGTAAATGAAATCGTTTTGGACGTTTCCAAGGATTTCATTAATTGTCTTCGCTTTTTTCAAGATGCCACTGAATTTAGCACGTCGAACGGTTTTGGCACCGTCACCATTGTTGTTATACTCTCGAAAGTAAACATTGTCTAAAGACACGCCATTCCACTCATCCCATCCCTTTGAATCCACAATTGCACTCAGTCTACTGTTCTGAAAAGTACAGCGAGAGTATGGTTGCCATGGACGACCTAGGAATGTTTTGCCGTTACCAAAGACATTCGCACGGTTGAAAACAAACTCTGATTCAGGATTTGGACTGTTGTTACCATTGGCAGTAATCCAACCATCACCCACCACCTCAATGTCGCATTTTTCAGACCACAAAAACCCTTTTTGACCGAAGAAAAAGTCGACATCACCACTGACGTATGAATAAGCCATGATGATACGGCCGTTGTTAGCAGCCACTGTGTTCTGGTTACCCATGAAGCGGCAGGCGTAAAAGCCATGGTCTTTGCCACCAGCAAAAACCGCTACGGCTTGTCCATCCACTTGAGTTCGACGAGCTGTATTGGCTACGTTGATGTTGTAAAACTTGACTTGGTTGGCTCTGATTCCGATTGTGCTGGTTTGGAAGTTACGGTTTTGAGCACTGGAAGGAAGGTAATGACTTGCTGTGGCTTGAGTAATCGTCACGGTGTTTTGTTTGTATTGGGTCGTATCACATGTGTATCCCTGAACAACGACCTGATCCAAGCTCTCGGGGATGAGCAACTTTTCTTTATACTCGCCTGGAAGAATGAAGAGGTTTATCTTATTCTGGTTTAACTTGGAGATACCCTCCGCAACAGTTTTGTAGCTCCCCGGGTATGCACCCGACTTATCAACAACAACTGTGCGATCAGGGTCGGCGGGAGAAGCCCTCGCATTGGATCCTTCGCAAGCGGCCAACAGAGGAGTTGCGAGCGTGGCAAAGACAGCGAGCGGTAGAACAAAGTTGAACATGGCTTGACTTTGGTGTGTGGAAAGATGGAAGTGATCGAACCAAGTAAAATTGGAGAATGAGCTTTTGAAAAAATGCTAATGCCAGCAACACTGAAAACTTCATGGATCAGTATTGTGCTATGCCTTGGCATGGTAGCCAAGCGGCAGATCTATACACTCCAATCTGTACGTATCGCACACGATGATGGACAAATAGGTGCATACACAGACTCGTAGTCGGGGTTTCTATCCAACTATTCTATCTTCTTATGATCAATATGTATGTCTTTCGATCTTTCTATCCACACAATGTCCGTCACATCTGGGTTCAACCCAGTGCAGTGATACCAGTATACATGATCTTGCTTTGAGATTGGGTGCTTATGATGAGAGAAGGCATCAGCTGGGCTTCATTCCAATGCATCTTCTGCCCCAAAAGTAGACGTCTGTTTTCCGAATAAGATCGAAGAATCAATGGCTATGACGCGAACTAGCTTAGAACTTCATAGAAGCTTTGAATCGTACGTTTCGGTGCATTGATGCGTCATGGAATGTTCGAACAGTGTAATTGATCGAGCTGAGACCCTCATAAAAGTACTGGATCGGTACAAGATTCTGTATTGAATCTAAGCGATTACCGTATATATAAGTGATCAGTCTTTCAAGAAAATAAATAGTGCACTCTAAATAATTCATATGAAATGGACAACCATAATCAAGGATACACTACACTGGATATTCGGATTGATTCTAGAAGTCTTGAATGGTCTTGCACCAGAAATTCTTTCTGTACTTCTAAGTCCTGATAGATGCGTTATTTGCCACAAGGAAATTCCAGGACTGCTTCAGAAGACAAGATCTTTTATCTACTAGTAAATATAAAAGGCATATGCTTGCAAACGGCATGTGTTGGTTGTTCATTGTCACGGCTTAGTTGATACTAGTAAGACGCAAGATTTTTGATTCATTTCTTGTTGAGATCTATTCACAAAAACCATCTCGGTGAATCATCGCTCAGGATCAGGCAGGTGGATTTTCCAATCAAGGCTGTAAGGCTTGCATGGACGATGACAACGGGAAAGAAAGGCTTGGATTTGCAGATGCATAGCAAACCAAGGTATAGGACGACGATTCCTAACATAAAAAGACTTGTGGAAAACCCTGTTGATGGGATAAACATTTGAAGACAAGAAAATTTGGCTAAAGAAAGAAAAAGAATGTGCTCATAATGTTTATATATATTCTTAACTATTATGCTGACATTTCTCAAGATGCGAAATTCAATACAAATTCTGAGGATGGGTTCATACACTCCACCTAAAGGCGAAAAAAAGAGCATATCTTGTACTTGCGTCCTTCTTTAATGATTGAAAAAGTGTATGTCGTTGATTTTTTATCATATAAAAGTCCTATTTCATGGATAGCGCAAGGCTCGAGTCCCATAAACCTCTCACATACGGACCCAGCACTTTATTTAGGTACTTTTTTCTGGGCTTTGTTCCTTAGTTCGAGGGACGACAGTGACTCAGTCTAATGTGTACAAAACCACGATACCATACATAACACGTCACACCCTCCGCCACCAAAATAAAACTCTACTGCATACACGATAGTCTGCTAAACTACAAAGCACAAAATTGAGCGCTCTATGAGACCTACTGCATTTAAAAGCTCGTCGACCCCCGTTTCACCTAGAGCCTGCGAAATTCGTATGGGGGATCCTCTGCCTGACGTGACCAAATGGCTCAACTTGCTCGAGCGTTCATCATAAACGTGTAGCCATGTGTGCAGGGTCTGGTGTCGAGCCAATTCGTATCGAGTGGCCTTTGAAGTCAAGCTTATTGCATGGGACTGATTGTTGTGCGTATTTGTGCTTGAATCAAAACACGCATTCTCGTAGTGGGAAACACAGGTCCGCCGCAAACAGGCTCTCACAATACAGAAACTCTCACAGTACAGAAATTCAGTCGAATTTTAGCTTTGAGATATCATAATCAGTACGCTAGCTATAAGCCCTTAGTTTGCTATTCCTTCCACATGGCTTTGGTGAGCTAGACTTCCAGGTGTTGAGGTGTCTTGAAAGCGTTCCTACTTTCCATATCAGATTTCTTCAAAAGAGTCCTTCGCAATTATGCTTCGACGCACCGACATGCTTTAGCGGACATATCCACAGACCGGGTGAGTAACGCTCTGAGGTAACTCAAGTACTATGAGTAACATTACTCGTAGAACATGAGTCCACTCATGTATTTGAGTACTACTTGCGAAAACATGTATGAGTATGAACATGGTCTTTGAGTACAGTTTACTCATGTCATGAGTAAATTTACTCACGGGTAGAGTAATGACGAGTATTTTTTGATCAATAAACTCAAGTTCCACCAACCGATTTGACTGTTCTTCTTCTTCCTGATTTCTTTTGTCCTCTTCTTCATCATCGAGCCTCCTCGGTAATTGCTCTTCTTCTTTTTTCTACTCCTCCAGCTCGCTCTGTCTTGTTACCGATCGACTGCTCATTACTATCCTTATTACATAGCTCAGTCCATCACCACCACCACCACGAGGAAACCAGCTACAGCAGCAGCGAGAGCGAGCGTTGTGGTGGCAACAAGAGATGGAGTCGTTATTTGAAGCAGCTGTAGCACCAGTCTTTGATGAGGATATTACAATTGCGTCATGAAGCAGCCATAAGAATTAGGAAACGGCGTGATCTTATAAATGTTTGTTTCCGTGCAACGCACCAGGCAAATTTGGTCAGGAAAATGAGACAGGATTTTTATCTGGCATCTGCTTCCTGCGCTATACTGGCGTACTGCTATTGGTCCTTTGCTGCATGCCTACAATTAGTCAAATGCAGCCACAATTCCGGCACAAACAACCTGAAAAAAATTGCAGCGAAATTACATGGTAGCTTTTATTTTCCTCAGTGTTATTAGCCTAGTTGATGAGCACCATCATCTGCTCACAAAAGACTACGGTATCGTCCTCACTGTGGTTAGCACTTCGAGCGGGATGCTCTGGAAGTGGCTCGTTAAGTCACGGAAATATATGACGCACCTACAAAAATTTTAAAGACTCGGTTCAGGCTACATCGTTCCTCTGCACCAGCATATATTCCGTCATAGTCTTGCAGAGAACGTTAAGCGGACTTGGGAACCGACTTGAAATCGATTAGCAGTGCTCAAGTGTATACCTTTAATAAATGTTTGTAAGTATCGAAAAGTTTGCTATTGTCCTACAAATCTTGTCTGTGTTTGGGTGCTTATCAGAGAAAAATGGCAAGTGGAAAGATCCCGCAACGTTCCAGCTCATCGTTGATTGACCAGTATCTTTGTTTTGGAGGGGCACAAGAAAACGTTGGTATGCCGAATCGCTTGCATTTTGCAGTGCTAAGAGGCAAAATGTCAAATGAAGATGAATGCAGCGATAGTGTTGACCATCATGGTTGTGTGTTCCAATCACGACTCTTTCAGATCTGGATAAGCCATTCACGTCGTATGTGACGCTGAGCCTCTGTCGTCGTTTGTATATTACTTCGAGCCGAAATCAACGAGCATGTACGCATAATCGTGTTTATGATTTACCTGCTTAAAGTGGTAGAAGGAATTATACACCTCACAACAAGAAGTTTTCTGCTGCATAATGTGCTCTTGTCAAGTTTTGAGTAGACCGTTTTGGCTCTCGGCCAGTTGTGATAGATGCAGATCATGTGACATGTGTACTTAATGAGTCGCCCAACTATGAGAATTCGTATGTCACAATGATGGCGTCGCCAATTGATGATGTAACAAACCTGGAGCAAAAGGATAAGACACATGCTAAGGTCAAGAAAGTGATGGATCTTGATCTCAAATGCTGCTTTATCGAAGCATTTGTTTGCACATCTGCACCACTGCACAAAGATGTCTGTATCACAGTACTGATTTGCTTGAAAATGAATGTGAAGTGGTACCTCATGGCGATGATCTCATTTCAAGATTTAAGGGTTCTGAGACACGCACGCTTAAACAAGCTTTCCTTAACGCGAGACGCTTGTAGCTATTCGACTCTTTTGAAGACCGGATTTCATACCCTCGTTAGAATATGGGTCTTTCTTGGTCAGTGGAGCCTCCAGCCCGCCCAACTATCACACGAATGGTGGATGTGGGCTGGCAGGGCAGACACACTTTTAAATGTGACTGCTCGCCCACTTTAGTGACCTGTGTCCAGCTGTCTTATTTCAGATCCTATGGGTATCGAACCAGGCAATCGCTCACAGACCAAGTGACTAACCACTCAAGCCCAAGGTCCGTTAAAAATCTCGACAAGACAAACGGCGTATGGCACATGTCAGCCCTTGGATAATTACCTTGGTAACAAATAAACATTGAGCTCAGTGAGCACTTTTTGCTGGTGAACGAGCCTGTATATAAATGGTTTAACGCTTGTACGTAAAGCGTGTCAACAGGTTAACCCTCGCCGCATGCACCAGCACACTTAGCCGGCCTGTCAGTTTAGACATAGTTTTTGCAGTTCACTAATACTGTTTCTGCGAGCCGTCTAGGTATAAGTGGATCTTTCTGCTACTGTCAGCGATCCTGTTACTGAAGGGGACACAGTCAATCGATACCTCGATGACGTGTTTCGCCATCACAGCAATCTGTTACCATAATTTTGGATTGAGATCTGCGTATCGCAGCAAAGTTTCAGCAATTTTTGATCAAGGGGCTATGTACTTAATTAGACATGTCAACATTAATCAAGCACAATTTGATTGTAAGATGGAACACGTTTACTGAGTGGTACAGATATCGTTCAAAGATATGGAGAGAGGTGCAGGAGCAACCTGCTTTTGCTCAATTAATTAACCCTGAATAATGCAGAGTCAGCCTCTACAGGTTTCACATCGTTCATATTGATGGTTTAGTCAGCCTAGTTTTTTTACATCACCACAAAGTATTTTGGTCCTAGTGTCCGTCAATCAAATTCAATCGGTTGATAACAGACTAGCTACTCTTTATAGCAAAATTGCGAATTTTGTC